TTAATGGGTATCTATTTGTGGTTTATACTTCACACTAACCATCAGTAGGAGCTGGGTTTAATGGGTATCTATTTGTGGTTTATACTTCACACTAACCATCAGTAGGAGCTGGGTTTAATGGGTATATATTTGTGGTTTATACTTCACACTAACCATCAGTAGGAGCTGGGTTTAATGGGTATCTATTTGTGGTTTATACTTCACACTAACCATCAGTAGGAGCTGGGTTTAATGGGTATATATTTGTGGTTTATACTTCACACTAACCATCAGTAGGAGCTGGGTTTAATGGGTATATATTTGTGGTTTATACTTCACACTAACCATCAGTAGGAGCTGGGTTTAATGGGTATCTATTTGTGGTTTATACTTCACACTAACCATCAGTAGGAGCTGGGTTTAATGGGTATATATTTGTGGTTTATACTTCACACTAACCATCAGTAGGAGCTGGGTTTAATGGGTATCTATTTGTGGTTTATACTTCACACTAACCATCAGTAGGAGCTGGGTTTAATGGGTATATATTTGTGGTTTATACTTCATACTAACCATCAGTAGGAGCTGGGTTTAATGGGTATATATTTGTGGTTTATACTTCACACTAACCATCAGTAGGAGCTGGGTTTAATGGGTATCTATTTGTGGTTTATACTTCACACTAACCATCAGTAGGAGCTGGGTTTAATGGGTATCTATTTGTGGTTTATACTTCACACTAACCATCAGTAGGAGCTGGGTTTAATGGGTATATATTTGTGGTTTATACTTCACACTAACCATCAGTAGGAGCTGGGTTTAATGGGTATATATTTGTGGTTTATACTTCACACTAACCATCAGTAGGAGCTGGGTTTAATGGGTATCTATTTGTGGTTTATACTTCACACTAACCATCAGTAGGAGCTGGGTTTAATGGGTATCTATTTGTGGTTTATACTTCACACTAACCATCAGTAGGAGCTGGGTTTAATGGGTATATATTTGTGGTTTATACTTCACACTAACCATCAGTAGGAGCTGGGTTTAATGGGTATCTATTTGTGGTTTATACTTCACACTAACCATCAGTAGGAGCTGGGTTTAATGGGTATATATTTGTGGTTTATACTTCACACTAACCATCAGTAGGAGCTGGGTTTAATGGGTATATATTTGTGGTTTATACTTCACACTAACCATCAGTAGGAGCTGGGTTTAATGGGTATATATTTGTGGTTTATACTTCATACTAACCATCAGTAGGAGCTGGGTTTAATGGGTATCTATTTGTGGTTTATACTTCACACTAACCATCAGTAGGAGCTGGGTTTAATGGGTATATATTTGTGGTTTATACTTCACACTAACCATCAGTAGGAGCTGGGTTTAATGGGTATCTATTTGTGGTTTATATTTCATACTAACCATCAGTAGGAGCTGGGTTTAATGGGTATCTATTTGTGGTTTATACTTCACACTAACCATCAGTAGGAGCTGGGTTTAATGGGTATCTATTTGTGGTTTATACTTCACACTAACCATCAGTAGGAGCTGGGTTTAATGGGTATATATTTGTGGTTTATACTTCACACTAACCATCAGTAGGAGCTGGGTTTAATGGGTATATATTTGTGGTTTATACTTCACACTAACCATCAGTAGGAGCTGGGTTTAATGGGTATATATTTGTGGTTTATACTTCACACTAACCATCAGTAGGAGCTGGGTTTAATGGGTATCTATTTGTGGTTTATACTTCATACTAACCATCAGTAGGAGCTGGGTTTAATGGGTATATATTTGTGGTTTATACTTCATACTAACCATCAGTAGGAGCTGGGTTTAATGGGTATCTATTTGTGGTTTATACTTCACACTAACCATCAGTAGGAGCTGGGTTTAATGGGTATCTATTTGTGGTTTATACTTCACACTAACCATCAGTAGGAGCTGGGTTTAATGGGTATATATTTGTGGTTTATACTTCACACTAACCATCAGTAGGAGCTGGGTTTAATGGGTATATATTTGTGGTTTATACTTCACACTAACCATCAGTAGGAGCTGGGTTTAATGGGTATCTATTTGTGGTTTATACTTCACACTAACCATCAGTAGGAGCTGGGTTTAATGGGTATCTATTTGTGGTTTATACTTCATACTAACCATCAGTAGGAGCTGGGTTTAATGGGTATATATTTGTGGTTTATACTTCACACTAACCATCAGTAGGAGCTGGGTTTAATGGGTATCTATTTGTGGTTTATACTTCACACTAACCATCAGTAGGAGCTGGGTTTAATGGGTATCTATTTGTGGTTTATACTTCACACTAACCATCAGTAGGAGCTGGGTTTAATGGGTATATATTTGTGGTTTATACTTCACACTAACCATCAGTAGGAGCTGGGTTTAATGGGTATATATTTGTGGTTTATACTTCACACTAACCATCAGTAGGAGCTGGGTTTAATGGGTATCTATTTGTGGTTTATAGTTCACACTAACCATCAGTAGGAGCTGGGTTTAATGGGTATCTATTTGTGGTTTATACTTCACACTAACCATCAGTAGGAGCTGGGTTTAATGGGTATATATTTGTGGTTTATAGTTCACACTAACCATCAGTAGGAGCTGGGTTTAATGGGTATATATTTGTGGTTTATACTTCACACTAACCATCAGTAGGAGCTGGGTTTAATGGGTATATATTTGTGGTTTATACTTCACACTAACCATTAGTAGGAGTTGGGTTTAATGGGTATATATTTGTGGTTTATACTTCATACTAACCATCAGTAGGAGCTGGGTTTAATGGGTATCTATTTGTGGATTATACTTCACACTAACCATTAGTAGGAGCTGGGTTTAATGGGTATATATTTGTGGTTTATACTTCATACTAACCATCAGTAGGAGCTGGGTTTAATGGGTATATATTTGTGGATTATACTTCACACTAACCATTAGTAGGAGCTGGGTTTAATGGGTATCTATTTGTGGATTATAGTTCATACTAACCATCAGTAGGAGCTGGGTTTAATGGGTATATATTTGTGGTTTATACTTCACACTAACCATCAGTAGGAGCTGGGTTTAATGGGTATCTATTTGTGGTTTATACTTCACACTAACCATCAGTAGGAGCTGGGTTTAATGGGTATCTATTTGTGGTTTATAGTTCACACTAACCATCAGTAGAGCTGGGTTTAATGGGTATCTATTTGTGGTTTATACTTCACACTAACCATCAGTAGAGCTGGGTTTAATGGGTATCTATTTGTGGTTTATACTTCACACTAACCATCAGTAGGAGCTGGGTTTAATGGGTATCTATTTGTGGTTTATACTTCACACTAACCATCAGTAGGAGCTGGGTTTAATGGGTATCTATTTGTGGTTTATACTTCACACTAACCATTAGTAGGAGCTGGGTTTAATGGGTATCTATTTGTGGTTTATACTTCACACTAACCATCAGTAGAACTGGGTTTAATGGGTATCTATTTGTGGTTTATACTTCACACTAACCATCAGTAGGAGCTGGGTTTAATGGGTATCTATTTGTGGTTTATACTTCACACCTAACCATCAGTAGGAGCTGGGTTTAATGGGTATATATTTGTGGATTATACTTCATACTAACCATTAGTAGGAGCTGGGTTTAATGGGTATATATTTGTGGTTTATAGTTCATACTAACCATCAGTAGGAGCTGGGTTTAATGGGTATATATTTGTGGTTTATACTTCACACTAACCATCAGTAGGAGCTGGGTTTAATGGGTATATATTTGTGGTTTATACTTCACACTAACCATCAGTAGGAGCTGGGTTTAATGGGTATATATTTGTGGTTTATACTTCATACTAACCATCAGTAGGAGCTGGGTTTAATGGGTATATATTTGTGGTTTATACTTCATACTAACCATCAGTAGGAGCTGGGTTTAATGGGTATATATTTGTGGTTTATACTTCACACTAACCATTAGTAGGAGCTGGGTTTAATGGGTATCTATTTGTGGTTTATACTTCACACTAACCATCAGTAGGAGCTGGGTTTAATGGGTATATATTTGTGGTTTATACTTCACACTAACCATCAGTAGGAGCTGGGTTTAATGGGTATCTATTTGTGGTTTATACTTCACACTAACCATCAGTAGGAGCTGGGTTTAATGGGTATATATTTGTGGTTTATACTTCACACACTAACCATCAGTAGGAGCTGGGTTTAATGGGTATCTATTTGTGGTTTATACTTCACACTAACCATCAGTAGGAGCTGGGTTTAATGGGTATCTATTTGTGGTTTATACTTCACACACTAACCATCAGTAGGAGCTGGGTTTAATGGGTATCTATTTGTGGTTTATACTTCACACTAACCATCAGTAGGAGCTGGGTTTAATGGGTATATATTTGTGGTTTATACTTCACACTAACCATCAGTAGGAGCTGGGTTTAATGGGTATATATTTGTGGTTTATACTTCACACTAACCATCAGTAGGAGCTGGGTTTAATGGGTATATATTTGTGGTTTATACTTCACACTAACCATCAGTAGGAGCTGGGTTTAATGGGTATATATTTGTGGTTTATACTTCATACTAACCATCAGTAGGAGCTGGGTTTAATGGGTATATATTTGTGGTTTATACTTCATACTAACCATCAGTAGGAGCTGGGTTTAATGGGTATATATTTGTGGTTCATACTTCACACTAACCATTGGTAGGAGCTGGGTTTAATGGGTATCTATTTGTGGTTTATACTTCACACTAACCATCAGTAGGAGCTGGGTTTAATGGGTATCTATTTGTGGATTATACTTCATACTAACCATCAGTAGGAGCTGGGTTTAATGGGTATATATTTGTGGTTTATACTTCACACTAACCATCAGTAGGAGCTGGGTTTAATGGGTATATATTTGTGGTTTATACTTCACACTAACCATCAGTAGGAGCTGGGTTTAATGGGTATCTATTTGTGGTTTATAGTTCACACTAACCATCAGTAGGAGATGTCAGGGGCTCGAGAAGTGCATTTGGGATGTTGCAGAGGTCTTCCTGACACGTGCTCATGTAGCACTTGGCGGCTTTCAAGTTGTCATCTGTGCATAATTGGATTTTTGTTAATGAGAGTGATATACAACTTTAAGGCTAAAAATTGAACTTTTAAAAAATAGATTTACTTCTTGCGGACGTCAGGTCATTATAAGCTATATTAAAATATTTTCACCAGATATTCCGGTTTCAGCGGATTTGCAAAACTTCTGCTCCGTCTCTAACCACAGAGAACCACACTCGTGCAGCTCAATAGTACCCAGGGTGGTCAGCTCTCCTTCTGCCTCTCTTGATAATCTGCAGGGGAAATCATTTTAGTACCCAGGGTGGTCAGCTCTCCTTCTGCCTCTCTTGATAATCTGCAGGGGAAATCATTTTAGTACCCAGGGTGGTCAGCTCTCCTTCTGCCTCTCTTGATAATCTGCAGGGGAAATCATTTTAGTACCCAGGGTGGTCAGCTCTCCTTCTGCCTCTCTTGATAATCTGCAGGGGAAAATCATTTTAGTACCCAGGGTGGTCAGCTCTCCTTCTGCCTCTCTTGATAATCTGCAGGGGAAATCATTTTAGTACCCAGGGTGGTCAGCTCTCCTTCTGCCTCTCTTGATAATCTGCAGGGGAAATCATTTTAGTACCCAGGGTGGTCAGCTCTCCTTCTGCCTCTCTTGATAATCTGCAGGGGAAATCATTTTAGTACCCAGGGTGGTCAGCTCTCCTTCTGCCTCTCTTGATAATCTGCAGGGGAAATCATTTTAGTACCCAGGGTGGTCAGCTCTCCTTCTGCCTCTCTTGATAATCTGCAGGGGAAATCATTTTAGTACCCAGGGTGGTCAGCTCTCCTTCTGCCTCTCTTGATAATCTGCAGGGGAAATCATTTTAGTACCCAGGGTGGTCAGCTCTCCTTCTGCCTCTCTTGATAATCTGCAGGGGAAATCATTTTAGTACCCAGGGTGGTCAGCTCTCCTTCTGCCTCTCTTGATAATCTGCAGGGGAATATCATTTTAGTACCCAGGGTGGTCAGCTCTCCTTCTGCCTCTCTTGATAATCTGCAGGGGAAATCATTTTAGTACCCAGGGTGGTCAGCTCTCCTTCTGCCTCTCTTGATAATCTGCAGGGGAAATCATTTTAGTACCCAGGGTGGTCAGCTCTCCTTCTGCCTCTCTTGATAATCTGCAGGGGAATATCATTTTAGTACCCAGGGTGGTCAGCTCTCCTTCTGCCTCTCTTGATAATCTGCAGGGGAAATCATTTTAGTACCCAGGGTGGTCAGCTCTCCTTCTGCCTCTCTTGATAATCTGCAGGGGAAATCATTTTAGTACCCAGGGTGGTCAGCTCTCCTTCTGCCTCTCTTGATAATCTGCAGGGGAATATCATTTTAGTACCCAGGGTGGTCAGCTCTCCTTCTGCCTCTCTTGATAATCTGCAGGGGAAAATCATTTTGCAAATCTATAACATATTTTGTTCGTTATGCTGTTGTGTACGGTACATGTAATTGACATGAACGAGTTTGCCTAGCTATTAACAGTGAAGATAATTTATAATAATTTATAACAATTGGGCCAAATCCATCAAAAGTATGTTCTACGCAATGTTGTGAAAAAGTATAAATAATAAATGAGGTATGGTCGCCGTAAGAAACACGATGAAATATGAGCACACCGCGTACATTGTATAATTTTACATTTTATCTCCCACTTATCTTCTGACAATATTTATTTTGTATCCTTTTCACGTACAACCAAACCTCTGTTGCTAAATTACGCTTCTGTTTCTCCCGTGCTATTTTCTATGTTAAATACTGCAGCTTTTTACATTTTCACAATAAACACTTGAGTACCTACCTCAACCTTCTCATTTAGGAAATGACAATAAAACTAACATACTGGTCTATCTCAACCTTCTTATTTAGGAAATGACAATAAAACTAACATACTGGTCTACCTCAACCTTCTCATTTAGGAAATGACAATAAAACTAACATACTGGTCTACCTCAACCTTCTTATTTAGGAAATGACAATAAAACTAACATACTGGTCTACCTCAACCTTCTTATTTAGGAAATGACAATAAAACTAACATACTGGTCTACCTCAACCTTCTTATTTAGGAAATGACAATAAAACTAACATACTGGTCTACCTCAACCTTCTTATTTAGGAAATGACAATAAAACTAACATACTGGTCTATCTCAACCTTCTTATTTAGGAAATGACAATAAAACTAACATACTGGTCTATCTCAACCTTCTTATTTAGGAAATGACAATAAAACTAACATACTGGTCTACCTCACACTTCTTATTTAGGAAATGACAATAAAACTAACATACTGGTCTACCTCAACCTTCTTATTTAGGAAATGACAATAAAACTAACATACTGGTCTACCTCACACTTCTTATTTAGGAAATGACAATAAAACTAACATACTGGTCTACCTCAACCTTCTTATTTAGGAAATGACAATAAAACTAACATACTGGTCTACCTCAACCTTCTTATTTAGGAAATGACAATAAAACTAACATACTGGTCTACCTCAACCTTCTTATTTAGGAAATGACAATAAAACTAACATACTGGTCTACCTCAACCTTCTTATTTAGGAAATGACAATAAAACTAACATACTGGTCTACCTCAACCTTCTTATTTAGGAAATGACAATAAAACTAACATACTGGTCTACCTCAACCTTCTTATTTAGGAAATGACAATAAAACTAACATACTGGTCTACCTCAACCTTCTTATTTAGGAAATGACAATAAAACTAACATACTGGTCTACCTCAACCTTCTTATTTAGGAAATGACAATAAAACTAACATACTGGTCTACCTCAACCTTCTTATTTAGGAAATGACAATAAAACTAACATACTGGTCTATCTCAACCTTCTTATTTAGGAAATGACAATAAAACTAACATACTGGTCTACCTCACACTTCTTATTTAGGAAATGACAATAAAACTAACATACTGGTCTACCTCAACCTTCTTATTTAGGAAATGACAATAAAACTAACATACTGGTCTACCTCACACTTCTTATTTAGGAAATGACAATAAAACTAACATACTGGTCTACCTCAACCTTCTTATTTAGGAAATGACAATAAAACTAACATACTGGTCTACCTCAACCTTCTTATTTAGGAAATGACAATAAAACTAACATACTGGTCTACCTCAACCTTCTTATTTAGGAAATGACAATAAAACTAACATACTGGTCTACCTCAACCTTCTCATTTAGGAAATGACAATAAAACTAACATACTGGTCTACCTCAACCTTCTTATTTAGGAAATGACAATAAAACTAACATACTGGTCTATCTCAACCTTCTTATTTAGGAAATGACAATAAAACTAACATACTGGTCTACCTCAACCTTCTTATTTAGGAAATGACAATAAAACTAACATACTGGTCTACCTCAACCTTCTTATTTAGGAAATGACAATAAAACTAACATACTGGTCTACCTCAACCTTCTTATTTAGGAAATGACAATAAAACTAACATACTGGTCTACCTCAACCTTCTTATTTAGGAAATGACAATAAAACTAACATACTGGTCTACCTCAACCTTCTTATTTAGGAAATGACAATAAAACTAACATACTGGTCTACCTCAACCTTCTTATTTAGGAAATGACAATAAAACTAACATACTGGTCTACCTCACACTTCTTATTTAGGAAATGACAATAAAACTAACATACTGGTCTACCTCAACCTTCTTATTTAGGAAATGACAATAAAACTAACATACTGGTCTACCTCAACCTTCTCATTTAGGAAATGACAATAAAACTAACATACTGGTCTACCTCAACCTTCTTATTTAGGAAATGACAATAAAACTAACATACTGGTCTACCTCAACCTTCTTATTTAGGAAATGACAATAAAACTAACATACTGGTCTACCTCAACCTTCTTATTTAGGAAATGACAATAAAACTAACATACTGGTCTACCTCAACCTTCTTATTTAGGAAATGACAATAAAACTAACATACTGGTCTACCTCAACCTTCTTATTTAGGAAATGACAATAAAACTAACATACTGGTCTACCTCAACCTTCTTATTTAGGAAATGACAATAAAACTAACATACTGGTCTACCTCAACCTTCTTATTTAGGAAATGACAATAAAACTAACATACTGGTCTACCTCAACCTTCTTATTTAGGAAATGACAATAAAACTAACATACTGGTCTACCTCAACCTTCTTATTTAGGAAATGACAATAAAACTAACATACTGGTCTACCTCAACCTTCTTATTTAGGAAATGACAATAAAACTAACATACTGGTCTACCTCAACCTTCTTATTTAGGAAATGACAATAAAACTAACATACTGGTCTACCTCAACCTTCTTATTTAGGAAATGACAATAAAACTAACATACTGGTCTACCTCAACCTTCTTATTTAGGAAATGACAATAAAACTAACATACTGGTCTACCTCAACCTTCTTATTTAGGAAATGACAATAAAACTAACATACTGGTCTACCTCAACCTTCTTATTTAGGAAATGACAATAAAACTAACATACTGGTCTACCTCAACCTTCTCATTTAGGAAATGACAATAAAACTAACATACTGGTCTACCTCAACCTTCTTATTTAGGAAATGACAATAAAACTAACATACTGGTCTATCTCAACCTTCTTATTTAGGAAATGACAATAAAACTAACATACTGGTCTACCTCAACCTTCTTATTTAGGAAATGACAATAAAACTAACATACTGGTCTACCTCAACCTTCTTATTTAGGAAATGACAATAAAACTAACATACTGGTCTACCTCAACCTTCTTATTTAGGAAATGACAATAAAACTAACATACTGGTCTACCTCAACCTTCTTATTTAGGAAATGACAATAAAACTAACATACTGGTCTACCTCAACCTTCTTATTTAGGAAATGACAATAAAACTAACATACTGGTCTACCTCAACCTTCTTATTTAGGAAATGACAATAAAACTAACATACTGGTCTATCTCAACCTTCTTATTTAGGAAATGACAATAAAACTAACATACTGGTCTACCTCAACCTTCTTATTTAGGAAATGACAATAAAACTAACATACTGGTCTACCTCAACCTTCTTATTTAGGAAATGACAATAAAACTAACATACTGGTCTACCTCAACCTTCTTATTTAGGAAATGACAATAAAACTAACATACTGGTCTACCTCAACCTTCTTATTTAGGAAATGACAATAAAACTAACATACTGGTCTACCTCAACCTT